TTTGAGCAAAGTCTGAAACTTGTTTCAATAATTCATCTGAGGATTGGCCATGATGATGAGCATTCAATTCTTTTCTCACTTTTTCAAACTTTTCTCTTGTTTGTGAAGAAAAATTAATCTCAAAACGAGAACTTGATGAAAAGTGACATTCGTTCCAATCTTCCAATTCTTCGATAATCTTTTGATAGAGATCACGGTCTGCATGTGTTTTCAGTAAATCTTTCAACTTTTCGACTTTGCTCCACATAATCACATTCTCTAACGAGAATTCTAATTTACAAAATTGTTCAAATACTTTTTTGGCGCTTGGATTTTTCAAAAGCTTAGAAACATCATCCTGTTCATTCTGATCCATGTTCATAGTTGTTGAAGATGATGCGTCTCTTGTTGATACATTCTTGGAGTTCTTAATAAATGCACCAATAAATACCAATCCACCAAATGAAATGATAAATCCAGCTTCAAATAATGTTTGAAAAACCAAATTGAACGCCAATTGGAGAATTGTGTTCATATCATCGGAGGTAGTTATTTGTGAATAAGTGCTTGTGATTGAGCTTGTTGAGGAGTTTGATAGAACAGAAAAACCTAATGCATAAGCAACAATATAGAACACAATCGATGTGAAAAATATGACAGCCTCTAATCTAAAGAATAATCTGTCATTGGTAGAAAAGAAATGTTGCAATCTTCGTAGGAAAGATGAAGTTGAATAGAAATTCAAATTCACTTGAACACCTTTTACACCAGTTTTAGGAAATGATTTTGTGATTCCTTGTACGAAATTTTCTAATTTGGATGTTTGTGAAGTTGCATTAGATAAGACATCCTTTCCAACATTTTGCATTTCACTCGATATTTGCTTATACTTGAATTCCATATAGATATCAAACAAATAAATTCCAATTAAACATATTGTCATGATCATAACAAACACAAAAAATGACAGGCTCATAATCCATGAATATGTTGTTGATATAATGACACTTGTTCTTGTTAATGAGATGAAAATGACAAAATAAGCAATCACACACACACTCATGGCACAATTTGAAAGCATCATAAATCTCTTCCTGGAAATGAGTTTCAAAAATGGTGACACTTGTTGTAAAGATACTTGTCTCTCGTTAAACATAATTTCGTACATGTATCTGAATAGAATGTATCTAAGGTGATTCAGCACAAAATTCCAAATCGCCAACGAGACCAATGTAACTACAACCATGGCAGACACGTCTCTGATAATATTCACAGAATCATAACTAATGTTTGACGTTCCATTATTAATGCTAAGTGTAATCGAGTCTGAGACAATATTGGAAAAGGCATTTTCTATGAAGAGAGCAATCAGTGAAAGGTATGGGAAAATCCATCGACTCTTAATTGGTTGTTTGGTAAAAGATT